AATATCATGGAAAAAAAACAGAAGAAAAACATAAAATACAACGTTACATCAACAACACAGAAAACAGTTGCTAACACTCTGAACAACATTAAAACAACTGACATGACCATCCTAAAGAACATCAAAACAGTTACAACAGCCTCGGCAGCAACAAACATTTTCAACAATTTCAAAAACATTTACTTTCGAACAAACAACCGCGACAGAGATATTAACGAACACATCACGTTCCCCTCATAAACAACAACATCAGTATCTTCGTCGTCGTCTTCATCATCAACAACAACAACAACAGCAGCAGCAGCAACATTATCATCAGCGACGAAACCACATCATTATCATTATCATCTTCTTCTTCACCATCATTTTCACCATCTTCATCATCACCATCGCCGACATCATCATCATCATCATCATCTTCATCCTTATTGTCCTCATCAGCAGCAAATACAACGGGACCACCATCAGCAGCGTCATCAAGGTTTTTTGTTTTTAATTTCGCATTTATCTTGACGTGGGTTTCATTAAAGATGCCACCGATAATGTTGAAGTCATTTTGAGACGTCTTCTCCCCGCTAACTAACACTAACACTTCTAACTTTATATTCATCCTAAATGCGCTAACCACAGCCATTCACATCATTGTTATCCATTATTAAATTTGATTAGTAATATATACGTTAATATTGATCAAATTATGTGTCTCTTATTTTTTATAGATTTCAAATTTTTAAATTTTTCAGTCACCACTGCATGTCGAATTTAAGCAAGTCCACTAGAGATAATAAAACATGACCAGAGATGCTAAAATACTTACGTACATGCTTTAAAATGAGTGAATGACGACTAAAACATTTGTAGGTTTCAAAAAAATGCTCTTTATTCGTACACAAACACACAGGCAAACACACATAAACAGACGGAGAAACATACACACACAGAGACACACATGCACCACACACACACACACACACCAAACACACATGCAGTATATATTCCACCGCCAAATTAGGACGCCGCATTGGAGCGGAACAAGTCAAGCTGTAAAGTACCATGGCAAGAAAAACCATTTAGAATTGGCAGATAATGAGAAAAGTAAGTAGCACTCTAATATGATCTTTATCATCATCATCATCATCTTCGTCATCGTCATCATCACCGTCTTTATCATCATCATCGTCATCCTCATCGTCGTCAATGACGTCACCGTAATTATAACAACAACAACAACATCAACCCCAATAGCAATAATAATATTAACAATGAAAATAATAATAATAAATCGTTACAATTTAAAAATTTTTTTATTATTTTCAACCAATATATGGATGTAATTGTCGAAGGAGATGTTATCACCGTTAAAGTCAATCACCGCTGAAACGTGGTAACAAAAATTAACACAAAAAATAACAGAAAGACATGTTTGTTTGTTTTATTACTCATTAATTCATTCATTCATTCCTTCATTCATTTATTTAATTGTTTAATCAATCACTTAAATTCATTTTTATTATCTAAATTCAAAATCATGTGTAAGTAATCATTAACATCTATTACTGCTGCAGCTACTGTAAATTTTACTTAGTCTTGTCTTGTCTTGAATTATCATCGATCCTAGGAACATGTGACCAACCTAACTTAACTTCCTCTTTTTGAACATTTGGCAGTTAATTTCGTTGTACTCCAGCCGTTTTAGAGCCAATTTGTTCGTTTTTCTGTCTTTCCATGACACCCTCAGTATTTTTTTAAACCATTCATTTCAAAAGCTTCAATTTTTCTTTCATCTTCCTTTTTCACTGCCCAACCTTTTGTACCATAGACTGCTGCATGCCATACCAACGTTGTCAGAATGCAAACTTTTGTATTTAATGCTAAAGAATGGCTCTTCCATATCTACTACAAACCCCTTGTGTTATGCCAGGTTTCGCTCTGACATCTTTGGTGCATTCAGCATTTCCGTTATGATAGAGCCCAGGTAAGGAAAGGAGTGCACCGATTCCAATAAAACTTCACAGACTTTAATTTCCAATTTGTTTCCACTTAGTTGCACCACTTTTATCCTGTTTTCATTAATTATCAGGCTGTAGTTCATGCTGACTGTTTCTACCCAGTTTACTAATTGACTGCTACCAATATTATTATGACTAGCACTACTGCTATTACTGCTGCTGCTGCTACTACTACTACTACTACTACTACTACTACTACTACTACTACTACTACTACTACAATTTTTAACATTAATGTCAATTAAAACCTTGACAAAAACAATTTCACGACAAATATATCCGGACATTAATTTTATCAAAGTTCTAACAATGTCAAAAAATTTAATACAAAAATTTATTAGCAACATTACCTCCAATTAAAACAGTGAAAACCTTGTTAAATTAATAATCTTTGAGATAATTTTGTAGTAGTGATAATAACTTCAGCAGTAGTAGTAGTAGTAGTAACTGCAGCATCAGTAGTAGTAGTAGCGGTAAAAGCCGTGACAGTAGTAGTTGTATTGGCAGTAGTAGAAGCAACAACGACACTAGTAATAATATAAATGATGATGATCTAAACAAAGAACTACAACAACAACAACAACAAAAGTAACAATAACAAGAGTAATAATAATAACTACAAATATTATTTAGGCGAAACTAAAAAAAACACACGTAATACTAAACGAACAAAAAATCGTATAAACACTCGGATAAAGAGAGCAGATAAGAGTGGACGATTGTATAAACGAAAAACGTTTGGGAGACATAATATAAAGAACAACAAAATCAACAACAACAACATCAATAACAACATCATTAACAACAACATCAACAACAACATCATCAACAACTCAGTCATCAATAACAACAACATCAACAACAACATCATCAACAACAATAACAACAACTCAATCATCAATCACAACATCATCAACAACAACAACATCGTCAACAACATTGTCAACAACAACAATAACAACCACAACAATGCAATCAACAGCAATATCCTTTTGATATTGGTTGTAATATTATTAACATTTAGCGAGGAAACCGATCGATAAAGACTTACACCACACACACGCACTCACGCACACACACGCACTCATGCACACACACGCACACACACACACATATACATACACTATTGGATCATATCAACAACTCTTTCCCGCCATTTTATTCAGTTGCAGCGCCATCTTTTGCTCACATACTCCACGGTGAATGGATGGCGATGATGATAACGATGATGATGAATGACTGAATGGTCATGATGATGGTGATGAATGGATGATGACGAATGGATGATGATGACGACGACGATGATGATGATGATAGCTGTAATAACTTTCTGGGCATCTTCTAGCGCTGAACTTTTCCATCTGCCAGCAGAGATATCCAACGATGGCTCCATACGAATGATTAAAAGTGCATTTAAATATGAGATTGAAAATGAGAAGGATGAAGACGATGACGTTCATGTCTATGACGATGATGATGATGATGATAATGACGATGATGATGACGATGATGATGATGATGACGATGATGATGATGATGATGATGATGATGATGATGACGATGATGATGACGATGATGATGATGATGATGATGATGATGATGATGACGATAATGATGACGATGATGATGACGACGATGATGATGATGATAATGACGATGATGATGACGATGATGATGACGATGATGATGACGATATTAGTGAATAGGCAGTTATGGTTATTTTGTTGTTATTAAAATTATGTTGATAGGAATGAAGATGATGCACGCACATACACACAAACATGCAAAAAACATACAGTAATGCAAAAAACAAACAAGCAAAAATACAAATAAACAAATCAACGAGCAAACATACATACAAACAAACATACAAACATTCATACATACAAAAACATAGAGAGAACCACTTGAATTGTCACACGCTGACGATGTCATATCGCAACGCAAGCCATTTCAACTTTACGCTCATGACAACAATTTGATTTCTTTCATTCGTCTACGCGTATGTTCCTGTCCGTCTGTCTGTCTGTCTGTCTGTCTATGTTTGCTATTGTGTGTCTGTTTGCTTTTGTGCATAAATATGTCATGGTTTGTGTGTGAATTTGTTTATATGTGTACATTCTTGTATGTATGTCACTAATTGTGTATTTTTGTTTGTCGTTCGTTTGTGTGTTTGTGCGTGCACCGATGCGTTAGTTTGTTCATGTGTGCATGTGTGTGTGACTGTGTATGTTGTTCAGAAAATTTAATTTATTTGTATCCACTTTGTTTTTCCTTCAGATTTGACTGAGAGAACAAATATTAGTGTAGATGCAATGCTTAGAAGACATACATCCAAATACATTAATGTTACGTAGGCATACATCAACATACATCCAAATACATTAATGTTAGGTACACATACATCAACATACATCAATGTAAAGTAGGGTACTCATACAGCAACGAACGTTGTTAGGCATGCCAGCGATATAGAGTGGACATTCCGTGAAAACGAAAATATACGGCCATCTGTAACGATGGAAAACAGAGATTTACTTGGCGCATAATTTCATGCTTTAGCTCAGCCGAACCGGCTCTCATATCAAATTTTATAACTTTCGATTTTTGAAAGGTGGAAACGAGGGAAAAAATTGCAGATAAAAAATAAAAATGTTTTTTTTGTTGTTGTTGCCAGAGGTTTATTTCGGATGGATGAAGAGTGCATGAAATGTTTGGGCTGCTGGTCATGTTGATGTTGGGTGTCGGTGTTGTTTTGGATGTTTGTGATCATGAATTTTCTATTTTTTAACTTTGTTTTTGTTGAATTTTTGCTTCTGTTTTAATATTTATTGTAATTTGAAAATTGATTGTGGTTCACGTTTCAAATGTTGTCATCTCATATGTCCGGTTCTTAAACGCTTACAATGCTCTTCATTTAAATAACGATTTATTCTAACTGACGTTCATATCTTTCCTTATATAAAAAGCTACTTTTTAAAATTTATTAAAATGACAAGCATTTTTAAATACTCTAAATAATTTTTCTACATTAAATAATAAATTCAAAATCTCAAATGTGTGAAAAATTTTCATAAGATATTTTTTAACCGAAATCATATTCTTTACCTTTGCACACTTAACGTTCATAAACTTCATCTCAAGATGGTAAAATGTTTTCAATCAATAAAACATTCACGGAATTATATTCAAGTTAACTCTTGAAACTTTCATACTAGCCCAGGCACCGCAGATCAATATCCATTCGACATAGCATGTTAGCCACTTACATTCGCTTGTTCGTAATCCTTGAAATTTAGTTCAATCTCAAACTTGAGTTATAATAATATTCCTGATGCCTTTATAAAGCTTCCCCACAAATATGTAATGTCTTAATGTCATAAATAACTGAGGTGACTTATTTTAAATCACATCACTCAGTGTGGTGATATGGTGTAACGTTCAAGGTGCCTGGTCCTGATGTTGCAATGACCGCGTTCGATTGCATGGAGATCCCTGCATATCACAAGCGTAGATTTACGCGTTTTTTCATGTGTGTGTGTTGTGACTTTCGTCAATATGAGATTTTTTGAAATCGTAACTGTTTGAATATGTAATAAAAAAACTTATTTTCAGTTCTAATGCCCAAAAAATTACAAATAAATTGTCTTTAATTAATAAACTATAGTTTCATCTAAATTGTAATAACCACAAATGAACAACGTATACACAGGTTATCCATGCCAAAACAACTAAAATAATGCTTAGAAGTATAATAAAAGATACGCGCGCACACATTTACAGGCGCACACATTCACTCACAAACACACACATACACCGTACAAACACACACACACATACACCGTACAAACACACACACACGTACATCCGTGAATTATTTTATCATCCTTTCATATGTATATGACTGAACACAATAAAAATAGCGTAGTGGAAAATGAATGAATGAATGAATGAATGAATGAATGAATGAATGAATGAATGAATGAATGAATGAATGAATGAATGAATGAATGAATGAATGAATGAATGAATGAATGAATGAATGAATGAATGAATGAATGAATGAATGAATGAATGAATGAATGAATGAATGAATGAATGAATGAATGAATGAATGAATGAATGAATGAATGAATGAATGAATGAATGAATGAATGAATGAATGAATGAATGAATGAATGAATGAATGAATGAATGAATGAATGAATGAATGAATGAATGAATGAATGAATGAATGAATGAATGAATGAATGAATGAATGAATGAATGAATGAATGAATGAATGAATGAATGAATGAATGAATGAATGAATGAATGAATGAATGAATGAATGAATGAATGAATGAATGAATGAATGAATGAATGAATGAATGAATGAATGAATGAATGAATGAATGAATGAATGAATGAATGAATGAATGAATGAATGAATGAATGAATGAATGAATGAATGAAGGAAGGAAGGGATGAATGAATGAATGAATGAATGAATGAAGGAAGGAAGGAAGGAATGAATGAAGGAATGAATGAATGAATGAATGAATGAATGAATGAATGAATGAATGAATGAATGAACGAACGAACGAACGAACGAACGAACGAACGAACAAATAAATGAACGGAGAACGAACGAATGATTGAATGAATATTTAAATGAATAAACGAACAAACGAATGAACGAATAACTAGCAACTGACAAACGAATGAAGGAATAAATGAATTAATAAACGGATGGATGAATGAATGAATGAATAAACGAATGAATGAAAGGAAAGTAAAGTAACGTAACAAAAGGCGATGAATACTTAAAGAAATGCAATTCAATATTTCATGCCTCAAGCATTTCTACACTGAATATGAGGAAAAAAAACAAAATAAAATTATATTACTATCAAATAACCACCTTATTGATGGAAGCTTATTAAAAATTATAATGAATGAGTGAATGAATGAATGAATGAATAAATGAA